CCCACTGTCCAAGTGCAGATGAAGTTCCCCACCCCTGATATACCCAACTCTGCGCCTCAGGTACCTCCCCAGCCAACTAAACCCGGTCATTTACTCCAGCAGAGCCGCTGTTTGCACGCCTGGCTCAGCAGCCCCTCCTCAGGCAGGGCAGGCAGCACTCACCTTCAGGGAATCCACCAGGTCATCGACGAGGAAGAGGCGCCTGAGCTCGCGCACGGTGCCGTTGACGTGGCCCAGCACCACGTTACTGTACTTGTGGATGAGCTCCTCGGACACGGCCACATCACACTCCAGGTAGGCCCTGAGGGAGAGCAGAGAGTGAGACTCCTGCAGCAAACAGCACCTCACCCCTCCCCCCTGAGCTACGGACAGCGAGCTCACCCCGTGAGGAGCCCTGGCAGGAACAGCACAACCACCCCAGTCAGTCACTCTCAGCAAACTCAAAACATCCACAATCTCTCACCAAAAAACCATCTGCTTGTTACTGCTATTGACTCAGTCACACACAGGCCTACCTGCACCACATCGAAAAGGTGGGCAGGTTAATGCAGTATCTGGGACAGGCAGGAGGAAAAAATCCCACCAAAGCAACATATCCATGTATGCCCCTGGAAGCACCTGTGGAGCTGCCAGTAAGCTGCAACAAATCTATTATGGCATGGGAAAATGAGCTACATTTGTTATCATTTGCTAAAAAAACAAAAAAGCCCAAAAAATTTTCTTACAGATAGTGACAGTTCTTTTACATAAAGATATAAACCCCTATCTGGCTGTGTCTCCTTCCACTCCACTGCCACTTTTATCTGTAGCTGCAGTGGCTGTGGCCACAATTTCAGTCTTTGAACAAGGTGTAATTTATTTATCTAATGTGCTGGAGGAGGCAGAAGGAGCAATGCAGCACATCTGTAACAGGGAACTTTATTTTACAGTTGTAAACTTTTACTTTTGGTTGGGAGGATTCTGCTTTGGGGTGGGGTTGTTTGTTTTTTTTTTTTAATAATAAAAATGCACAGTGGAGGTTCCTGTGTGTGTCACTTAAGGCCAAGCTAAACATGACCTTGTGGCAAATCCAAGACAAATTGGAGTACTTTAAATGGTAACTGCAGCAGCCATTTCAGGGCTGTGTTTTGCAATCACCCTTGGCTTCCATCTGCTCACCCTTCTCAGCTCATCCACGAGACATTCACTACCTGCATCAAAAATTCAATTATCTCGTGGGATGTTACAAGTAAAAACATCCTTCTTGTAGCTGAAACTACACAGGAAAAAAGTAAACCAAGCAAGTACGTTGGACAAGAATGTCTGGAGGCTACTTAGGAATAGAAGCATTTTTAGGAACAAACTGCAAAAATAGGTAGAACAAGGTAAAGGAGCCACTGCACGTGGTCTGGGAGGAAGGCAGGGAAAGCACAGCTGAGTGGGGCAAGGCTGGCATGGACACAGGGAACGTGCACTCTGAGGAACAGGAAACAATCCCTCCAGCACAGCAAGAAGTGCTTATTTCTTTGAAGATGCAGCTTTGCAACAACAAGCACCTGGATCCTGTCTGTGCCCAGGCAGCCTGGGAGCTCAGAACAAACCACACATCTTAAAAGTGTTCTTAAGGGTTCCAAAAACATCAGAGTAGGCCCTTGCCATGGTTTAACCCATATTATATTTATTCTGATTCTGGCTAAATAAACTGTGTTTGAAGTGCTGGGTGTTGTTTAAATACTGCCCCAGCTCATATTCTAAAGGTTGAAATTCTGAAAGGCACACAGCACTCCACTGCACTGAGGGGGTTTATTTGTTTAATGCGTTCCCAGGGAAATCAACAGCCCTGTACCAAATCCTCAGCCCATTTCTGTATTTCCTGGGGGCCCACTGAGTCAAACAGACTGTGGGGAGCAGGTTTTTCAGTCCAGGGACCATTTCCATTACTATGCAACGTGTCAGAGCACGTGCCACCCTCTGCTTCCCACAGCCCCGACCCCGGAGGAGCTGCTGCTCCCCACAACACCAGGGAAGGGCAAATCCCACCTGAAGGGGTGGCCTTCATCAGACTTCTGGATGGCCTGGATGACTCCCTTGTATATCCTAAAGCTGATGGTGACAGAGAGCAGGGCCAGGGCGATGTAGGCTGTGACGCTGACGATGCTGAACACTGTTAATGAGAGCAGCAGGAACAGGCTGGCACCAAACACCACTCCCGTCTTCTTGATGTCTCGCCAGTAAAGCAGGTCAACAACTAGGATTTAAACGAGGGGAGAAATTAGAACGAGGTACCTCTGGCATCCCCACGAACACAGGAAAACATCAGTGTTCACTTTGCTGCTGAGAGTCACTAGGAACAGAACTCGTCAAAGCAGGGCTGGAATCCCAGCTGGAAATAGGTTAGTACTGGTTCTGCACTGCACTCCAGATCACTGCTGTCAGGATTACCTCACATGCAGTTGCTACAATTTAAGAACAATTCTGCCCTTAAGCAACGTCAGAATCAATCTCCTCAGCTCCTGTGCTCTGTTCTGCACCAGAACCACAGCACTTTGTGCTTCAGTTCACCCCATTGTGGCGTTTTGGGGTGGTCACTCCCTGGAGAGGTTAATTCCAATGCCCTGTTAGGACAGATGACAGGACACCAACACATCTCTAAACCATTCCATCTTTCCAAGTCTGGTGGAGCAAAGGCCCTGCTCAAAGACTCATTAACAGTTCACTTTGTTTGCTTTGGATGGAAGCATTCCCAGGGGAGTTGATAATGTTGATTGTGGGTGACAGACTGAGCCATCAGGAGGGAATAATCTCACCGAGATGTCAATCCAGGCTGAGTCTGCTGTGTTCCAATGCAAAAGACTTCATTTGCAAACCAAGTTTAGTTTTCCTTAAGCGACCCTCATTAGGGAACAGTGTGTTAGGCCATTTTTAGCATCACTGCCCAGAGTAAACTACACCCTTGCACAAGCCTTAGGTAATGGCTTAAGGCTCCCACTGCAGATCTGGTTGCTTGCATTAGATACAGAGTTCAAGATAAACTACAGAGAAATTATTACTACGGCACTGCACTTTAGCAAGCCCATCTCCTCCTAAAAATCACCAAAATTAACTGCAGGATAACATACCAGCGTTCAGCACAGATTCTTTGTCTGAATGACTACTAAAAAAAAAAATAAAAAAAAATTAAAATGTGACTATTATTTCTTGCAGGATGAAAACCTGGAAATGCACCAACACTCAATACTTGGCAGCCTCTGTAGGGCACAGTCTGTGTAACCCCTTTGTAGCTACACCACGCCAAAGCCACCGGGGCTGGGGGGTGTTTTCACACAACTCCTTCCCAATTATTCCCACGGGGAATCTGTACTAAATTGCGGGAAAGATGAAAATCAGGGTCAGGAAATTAAATCCACCATTTCATAATGCAAATTATGGTATCCAAATATTCAAAGCCACGTTTGAGTAGAAGCTTCCTGCAGCCCTGCATGAACCCCTTGGCTGTTTGGCAAAGCAGAGCAGCCTCTCCCTGCAGCACCATCCGTGCTCTGCTCCCCCAGCCCGGCCCAACCAACCCAGCACCGCAGCCACATCAGCGGCCACCACGTGAGCAGGACACAAACATATGGGGGCAGAGATAGACCCTGCAGCGCCAATCCCAGCGCTCCTGCAGCCCCGGCCCAGCCCAGCCACAGCTGCTGTGACCGTCCAGCGGTGCCTCTGCACACCCTGCACGAAGCAAGGCCAGCTGCAAAAGGAGCTTATTAAAAAAAAAAATAAATAAATAGGAGATTGACTTAAAGGTCGTTGTAAGCTGTAAACCTACACGGAGCTGCAGGCAGCCCCCTGGTGAGATCTTCAGGCTTGCCAAAAGCAGTTGGTGGATTTCGTGCTCCCAAATAATGCAAGAAACTCATTTCTTCCCGAGCGTCTGCTGCAAATACTGCAACTGTGTTTATTTTTAAATGCTGCAATTTGAGCGTCCATATATTTGAATTTGGGAGCTGCCCCTGGATCGGGTGACAGCAGTGTGAGCCCTGCTCTGCTTGCTGCAAATGAGAGACTGCCTCCTCTTTAAAGCCTCTCCACTGACAGGGCTCTTTGCTCCATAGAAAATCACTTATTCCATGCATTAATGCATTAGAGCAGTTATAAGGAACGTAAGGAGAGCAATTCATCCCACTGACAGGTTCCAGGAGAGAGAAACAAAGGTAGGCTGCTGGAATTAAAGCACAAAGCAAATGCCAAATGGCCTTTAGCGACCCATCGAGTCCTTTGTTCTCGGTAATCAATAAGAAAAATCCCCAAGCCGGGAACAACCAGAGTAAGGCTGCACATGGAGCATTTTTCCTCATTCCACCTCCACTCCATTTGGAGAAGGAGCAAACAAGCCTCGGTTTAATGACATATGGATCCGGTTTCATTGTAAATTCCTCAAAGGCAACTCAGTGGTTTATAATTCTGCAGCCCAAGAAAGCACACAATGCCAGTAATTTATATTCTATTGATGAGAAACAGGTACTTGCATTTATTTCTAAAGGAAAAGATTCAAAGCATTACTCGAAGCTGCCTTCTGCCTTTAACTTACACGCGAGATACAGCAGATGAACAGAAAAAAGAAAAAAAACCACAACAGAATAAACCCCAAAGCAATTCTGAGGAACAGCCCTGCAGTCTCTTCCCTTACGGAAACCGTTTTAAGCTTTCTTTTCTACAATCCCAAGAATAATCTCACGCATGTAATGCCCGCAGCCCAGGCCTATCCGAACCCAAGAACAGCTGCCTACATTTGGTAAGCACGAACTGGCACTTGGCACGTCTAAAAATAGTGCAGCTCCATCCGTGCCTTACATGCACACCTCATCCAGTTACATTTTGCTTTTAAACCAAGTGCTAACCGAGCTTTCTCGCCGCATTTTTAAAAGCCTTTTCCTTTCCGATTTTTACGTTAAACCCGAACAATTAACACCGGTTTCCGCGACAAAAACAAGCGCTCCGATATATTTAGCGTGCTAATCCTCTTTAAAAAAACAGCCCCCGAGGCGAGCGGCCGCCCGTTCCTTTAGAAGGAACAATGCCAAGGCGAGAGGTGCGAGCAGAAGGCAGGTGAGCAAAGCAGAGCAAAGCAAAGCAAGGAGAAGCACTGACCCATTTTGGCCTCCATCTTGAGCGCGCCGTGCTGCACCCCCGGCTCTGGCAGCGCCCGGCCCGCCGCTTTCCTCTTCCTGCCGGGGCGCTGCGGGGTCGGAGCTACGCAAGCTCCGCCGGCCATCCCATCCCACCCCATCCCATCCCATCCCATCGGCAGGGCCGGGCGCCAGCAGCACAGCACAGCTGTGCGGGGCTCCCGCACCATCCACGGCTCCCTCCCCTCCGCACACAATCCCGCGCTTCACCGCCGCTCAAAGGCTGCTTGTGTCCCGCCACGGGGCACGGACGGCACCGCAGCGGTTGCAGACCTCACACTGGGAGCTTTCTGTGATTCGAAGGTAAGCACAGAGCCCTTATGTTCCTGGGATAACAGGGCACAGACGCTTCTGGGAGCAGCTGAGCAACAGCCAGGGTGGTTGTCCCAGAAATGGGCACCAAGCACACTTGGCTGGGGGGAAAATCCACAGCGAGCCCCAGAACACGACCCCAAAGGGGGGTAGTTCCTGTTCAGAGAAGCCTTTTCCATAAACTCCACCTTTACATAAACTCCATGTCCACACACCATGTGCTGCTCTTCAGGGCTCCCTTTGACCCTGCAGCTCCACATCCCGAGCCCAACCCTGAGGAGAAGCCACCAACCATCAGGTGGTCACCGTGTCCAGCACCAGCACTCAAGCACTGACGTTTCCAAGGCTTCCTGCCTCAGGTTATTCACAATTCCTGTTCATTTCCTAAAAGCAGCAGAGACTGGGCCACCAAACTGAAGATTGTGTTCACCCTTCCCAGACACATCAGGAGCCAGTCTGGTCCTCGAGCGTCTCCTCGCAAGTCAGAAACAACCAACCGAGGCCAGGCTGGTGGGACTGGCTGTTCCACATGACTGCACGTGGTGCCCAGCACGTGCCCAGCCCAACAGAGCCTTGCCTGTCCCAGGGCCAGACATCCCCAGGGAGCAGCACGTCCAGCGGGATGCATCCCAAAGGTCACCAAACAAGGCAGCATCACGCACACTCGGCCCCAAATCCCCAACAAGAAAATACAGATTTCACAGCCCAGCACTACCAGATCTCAAAAAGCAACCCCAAATATTATCTAACCATTACTAACGAGCCAAAAAGGCTCTTTTCTTTTATTTTTTCTTAACCACATACTCGTGTGTGTGGGCACAAAGTACCAACTGGGACAATCAGTCCAAAGCCCGGATTATTCACAGGAAAATAAAAATATCCAGGGCTGTACAAGCCTATGCAACCTCTGCCGTCATTTATCTGAGCTGAAGCAGAATTCAGACAGATTTTCAGCACATTACTTAAAAAATATGAATCCTAGGGTAGCCTGGAAGTACAGCTGTGGTGTTCATCCTACCATTAGGAATATTCAGCCAATAAAACCTGACAATTCATTGAAATAATTAAAAATAAATAAATAAATGCTTCGGTTTTGTGCCAATTACTCCATAGGGCCTGCCTTGAAAAGAGCTAAAAATAAAAGTCATGCCACCCCCAGGGTACACTTATTTCATGCTGCCTATCTGGATGATCAATACCACAGGTATTAATCAATACCACAGGTCGCACCACTTGCACTATGCTGGTTCCTCAACTACAGCACACCTATCACATCTAAATTTAGGATTATGTTCACTAGAAAGTCGTGCTTCAGTTGCAAAGTCCAACTGTGAACCGCAGTTTTCGCCCTTCCCTGGTTTTAGATTTAATTTTTTTTTTTTTAAAAGTCATTTTTTAGCACGGCAAGGAACGTGTTGCAATATTTGCTTCTGTATTTATTTTGGGGCACCACAAGTCGTGCAATCCGTCCCTGAACTTTACCCATCGTTTTTCATGCCCCTGGAGCCCGACCAAGGAAGAAGGAACACGAAACACGGCGTCTTCATCTTGTTCTAAACAAACCAACACACTAAGCCAGGCTTTAGCAGCTGCAGCAGGACAGGAACCAGGCTCTTCTCCTTCCCCCTAAACCCTCCTGTCTGCTTCCATTTTCCTTCAGGCCTCATCTGGACAAGTTAAATCAGAATTAGATTAAAGCTCAGGGCTGTGGGGGTTTCCTCGGAGGGAGAACCAGGCACAAGAGCAGCTTCCCCCACCT